CAGACCACCTCTTGGGCGTTTTTCTCTGGCTCATAAAATACCCATTGGGCGTCTCTCTCGGACTATCAAGAAAAACCTCTCATAGCAGTCTCTTGCCTGTGTGTGTGGTGAGTGCGGGCTCATGGTGTAGATCGAACGAATATTGTTGTGAGGGAGCGATCCAGATCTCTATGGAGTAATAAATTCACGCTATATGGAATCAATCACCTGAAAATAGAAGCGCTAAGCTAACTAATCCACGTATATAGTGTGTGCAGGATGTGAGGCGCATTACTGTTCCTCTGAAGTAGGATAGAGAATAAGTAGATTAGATGGCATATGTATCGTAGGATACACGTATGATTATTAGTACTGTATCCGGAAAACGTTTTCGTATATAATACTTTGTAACAATCAAGTAGATAACAGATAGTAGCTCACAAACTCAATCAGTATAAGATGTTTTGGTGCCGGACGTCACTATAAGATATGTATGCGCTCAATATGCTATGTGACTCAATACATCACGGAAGATCACTGAGATGCAGGAACTTAAAGGATTGGAAGCACCATTGCTGGAGAGGATTAAAGATATACAGAAACAAACGAGCGGAAACTGTTTAGAATTGCATTCAACGACCAGTAGTGTTACCGAGGTATGCAAAGAGGGGTGTTTACATATACACGGGCTGGAGCTACATCTCTGTAGAATGACCTCAGCGTCACTTATGCATACAAACAGGTCGTAGATTTCCATTATACAACACCGACTAACGGATCATCCCCAGGAGTAAATGAGACATATGATTGGACTGGTCGAGCACGAACTTCTAATGGGAAAAGCGACAGCAATTGGTATGCTAAAGGGGATACTTATAATAACACATCGTTAGACAATAATAAATAAACTCAATCTATTTTGCAATCCGATAAGCATAGATACAAGAATAAATGTGTATGCTTTGCATAATGGCATATTGCAGTTAACATGAGTTCTCTTTATTTCCACAATTGAAGTATATGGATCGTAGACACTCTGTTTAGTATATTCAGAGTGTCGACGGGCACCTAAGGGATGACATATGGCTACATCGATTCCACGCAGTTCACGAAGTCGCGAGCCAACACGGCACAAAGTCGAAGGCCAGCGCTAAGGTGAGAAGACTAAGCTAAAAGATTGACAAAAGTATAGCCATAGTACACGTCTGGCCATCCTTCTGATTAATTGAAGCCCAGCTCATCATGCGTAATAGTGAGTCATAATGGGAACCTGTTGGCATAAGTCACGCTCCTATAGTACACACACAACATCCCAAGGGTGTGATTGCGCGAGAGACCTTGCTGGGTGGTGTCTGTGAGCGTTTATATCCAAATAAGAGATCTATATACTAAATTCCCGGACTAATAACTATATCACCACTACACACTCATGCATCAAAGATCTATTCATAAGCCAGATATAGTATGTGGAGAGGTAAAATTCTAGATCTGTTCCCACCATCCCACAGCATGAGACAAAAATAATTCTAAGGATATCGGCCCCCATTACCTACCTGGTAAGTGACGAAGGTAACCTGGTTACGGCGCGATCATAGATATCTACTTACTGCGATGCAGTGTGTGGCTGTGTGGTGTCTTGTATGTATGTAATAAAATATCCGTGATGATAAAGACATGAGCCACCCCACGTTGATTGAAACCTTATATATGCACATATATCATAAATATATAGTGACTCATATGAGAATACTGAATATTCGATATATACTTATATCTAGCTTTACGTAGCTAGGGAATATAACTCTCTTCCATTTAAAATATGAGGATTGTACAGTAGTAACCTTACTGCGAATATAGTTTAGATCAGTACGACTTAGTGTGAAGATGCAGTATGATTTACATTAAATCAGTACTGTATGGACACGTTAGTCGTCTATTGTGAGAGAGATAATAATCACTCTGTTATATATATAGTATTATATATATAATATATATTATATGGTGGGGCGTTAAGCCCAAAAAAAAAAAAACAGGGGGGGGTGGGAATTTAGGGGTTCAGAAGGGATTTCTTAATACACAAACGCTTAGAAAGAAACATTGTTAGAATCAATATGTCAGCGAAAGAGTGGCTCTGTAACAATTTAAAAACTAACACTAGGTACAACTGCTTAAAAAAATTATTCGAGTCTGGTTCGTGTGCTGCCACTACTCGTGCTAGGGCCACTATATAGTGTGTGATGAAGAAATAGAGAAGTGCTTCTATAGAGTAGGGTATAATGTTTCACTTACAGCCAGTTATACGAGACAGAGAACAAAAATTCCCTATTATTCACTATATTATATATTTATGGGGGATTTTATGCCAAAATAGGTATAATAAGACAGATGGCGAAACACTACATAATAGGGAATACTCATGGAAATGTATGGCTACTTATAAGATACGNTTAACAATTCATCTTTTTAAATGATTCTTGAGGAGCGTTGTTTTTATTTGTGACTGCACAATTAGTCTTACATTACCATTTCTTAAAAAAAAAAAAAAAGTATGGCATTTACAAAATAAATATGGCAATGCAAATTTTGGAGTTGTACATTAACCATTTTTCAATCTCAACACATCTCTTTGCTTCCTAAATACAGGAAGTGTGTATGTGTGTGTGCATGCATGTATGTTAAATGTGTGTGTGTGTGTGTGTGTGTGTGTGTGTGTGTGTGTGTGTGTGTGTGTGTGTGTGTGTGTGTGTGTGTGTGTGTGTGTGTGTGTGTGTGTGTGTGTGTGTGTGTGCGTGTGTGTGTGTGTGTGTGTGTGTGTGTGTGTGTGTGTGCATGTGTGTGTGTGTGTGTGTGTGTGTGTGTGTGTGCTGTGTGTGTGTGTGTGTGTGTGTGTGTGTGTGTGCATGTGTGTGTGTGTGTGTGTGTGTGTGTGTGTGTGTGTGTGTGTGT